AAATAAAGTTAAAAACCACGTGGACGAAGTCGCGGGAACAGCTAGTGTATAATATATTAGAGATACCTACGTGTTTTTTTATTGATGACTAGCTGTACACGGGATTTCGTCCGTGTTGAATTTAACTTTGTTTTTCTAAAATATAAGAAGTTAAATTCCACGCGGACGAAGTCGGGTGTACAGCTAGTTGTCGGTAGTCTAGCGATTTAGCTAGCACACTGCTTTGATTCCTGCTTGGTGGTCGAGGGTTCGATTCCTCGCACGCTGCAAACATTTGTATTCATGAGTATGATTGTTTGTAACGGTCTGGGTGTTTTCTATGTATAGATAATATATATGTATTTACGAAAAAAAATCTTTGTATTTATATCAGTACCCATAACATAATCTTCAGCTAGCTTAACTTGGGTCTAGATGAAGCTGTGTGAATTGTCCTGAGATTACTATTATTACTATAATAAATCTTTTCAAATCAGCCGATGTTTATTTTTGCCATAATACGTGCTGTTACCATGTGATAATATTACGTACGTACTTATTAAACTATTAACTTATTATTAAATTATTAACTATTTATACTGTTTTAAATGTGATGCGTTCATTATTTATATTTCCTTTGAATTAAAGACAAATGTATATATATATATATATATTTATATACACTTGCACACTTAGTTGATCCAGCCACGATCCGTAGATATTGCTGATCCACTGTCTCTCTCTTTCTATCACTATCTTTGTATTCTAATATGCGATGTTGCCGTTCCGGCCGAGACCATGCGTTGTTGCCAAATGTATTCGTCGATAGTAGTAGATACTTATACTCGATATATATTTTTTCAACAATTTCCTGCAATAGTGAATCCGTATCGGCATTTTTTTTAAATGCACAAAGATTTTTTGGCTCTGAATATATTTAAAAATCATTTACTTGTGTGTTGATGAATTTATATACTAGTACATGAAGTACCTAATACTTGTTTTGATTTGAATAGGTAGCGATATTATGAATTTATTATACGTAATCTAAAGATTTTGACGAAATAAAAGTAATTAGTTATCTGTTAACCTTGACTTCATGCTGGCACCAGTATTATCAGATGATGAACATACTCTTCGAAAACTTACAGCAGAAATATCGTGTTTGGACTCATTAGATAGGTCTCGATGAATAGAGTTTAAAAAACTTAAAATAAATGGTACATTAGAAATAATGTATAAAAACCCCTTACGTAAAATTCAACCACTTTAAACTTAATAATAATAATAATTAGGAAAAGAGAAAAGCTATACATGCACTGAAAGTAATTGATGCCTTCCACACAATATTTTCAGTATTAAACAACTCTGTTTGTTCAGTAAAAGTGTAAATACACTGGTAACATTTAATCATATTTTATATGCAAACATTACATATACAAACACTAAAGTTTTATTTCAGAATAGCCAGTAGTTTTCAAGAAATAAGTCTTTGAAATTGTACGTGTAACTTATATATATACCTACTAGTTTTTTCACCATAACAAACAACACCAATATGGCCTAGTTAGTAGTTTACCTGTGTACCAATTAATAATAATAGTAATCTCAGGACAATTCATACAGCTTCATCTAGACCCAAGTTAAGCTAGCTGAAGATTATGTTATGGGTACTGATATAAATACAAAGATTTTTTTCGTAAATACATATATATTATCTATACATAGAAAACACCCAGACCGTTACAAACAATTTAATAATAAGTTAATAGTTTAATAAGTACGTACGTAATATTATCACATGGTAACAGCACGTATTATGGCAAAAATAAACATCGGCTGATTTGAAAAGATTTATTATAGTAATAATAGTAATCTCAGGACAATTCACACAGCTTCATCTAGACCCAAGTTAAGCTAGCTGAAGATTATGTTATGGGTACTGATATAAATACAAAGATTTTTTTTCGTAAATACATATATATTATCTATACATAGAAAACACCCAGACCGTTACAAACAATCATACTCATGAATACAAATGTTTGCAGCGTGCGAGGAATCGAACCCTCGACCACCAAGCAGGAATCAAAGCAGTGTGCTAGCTAAATCGCTAGACTACCGACAACTAGCTGTACACCCGACTTCGTCCGCGTGGAATTTAACTTCTTATATTTTAGAAAAATAAAGTTAAATTCAACACGGACGAAATCCCGTGTACAGCTAGTCATCAATAAAAAAACACGTAGGTATCTCTAATATATTATACACTAGCTGTTCCCGCGACTTCGTCCACGTGGTTTTTAACTTTATTTTTCTAAAATAAAAGTAGCCTAAGTTACTCCTTATTACATCAGCTACCTGCCAAAAAAAGTCCCGTCAAAATCGGTCCAGCCATTTCAGAGATTAGCCGGAACAAACAGACAGACAGACAAAAATTGTAAAATATGTTATTTTGGTGTATGTACCGTATTTATATTCATATGCAAGTAGTAAAAAACGGTTATTTCAATATTACAAACAACAGGCTTCAACATTCTCAAGTACCACAAAAAAGATGTTTTTTTATCAAATAAACAGTTTTTATTAAAAACAAGCTGTCCCCGCGACTTCGTCCGCGTGGAATTAACTTTATTTTTCTAAAATAAAAGTAGCCTAAGTTACTCCTTATAAATCAGCTACCTGCCAAAAAAAGTACCGTCAAAATCGGTCCAGCCATTTCAGAGATTAGCCGGAACAAACAGACCGACAGACAGACAGACAAAAATTATAAAAATTGTTATTTTGGTATATGTACCTTATATATATTCATATGCATGTAGTAAAAAACGGTTTTTTCTATATTACAAACAGACACTCCAATTTTTATTAAATGTATAGATGTATAGATTATTATTTATTTATTTATTTATTCATCCAAAATAATACAAATTGTGTAGGATAACGTAATAGTAACATTACAGTAAAATTTTGTCAACAACATAATAGCAACTTAAACATTAAATCTCGGTATATCTATAGACTAGCTGGCCCCAGCGACTTCGTCCGCGTGAAATTTTATTTTATTTTTCTAAAATAACAGTAGCGTAAGTTACTCCTTATTACATCAGCTACTTGCCAAAAAAAGTCCCGTCAAAATCGGTCCAGCTATTTCAGAGATTAGCCGGAACAAACAGACAGACAGACAGACAAAACTTGTAAAATATGTTATTTTGGTGTATGTACCGTATTTATATTCATATGCAAGTAGTAAAAAACGGTTATTTCAATATTACAAACAGACACTCCAATTTTATTTACATGTATAGATGTATAGATTAAAAAAAAAGTAACAGTCATAAGGCTAGTCGTATGCCTAATATATATAATAATGTAATAAATTCATTTAAACAGAAATTGCGGGAACATTATTTAAATTTGTAACTTTTTTACTGTCCTTCTCCTTTTTTCACATCTTTCTGTTATATCCATATAGTTCTCTCTATATTTTCTGATTTTCTTACTTTCAATTTGAGACTGTACTTATAATTTGATTATCGGATCATTATGTATTTACTTATATATAATATTTATACATTTATGGGTTATATTTAGATATATATTTATGTATGTATATTGTTATTTTTTTATAGAAATGTATATTTTGCTTATCTTTATTATCTTTATAAATCTTTTTTTGACATTTCTTATTTATATTAGTGCACCGCCAATAATCTTTCGCTGCACCACTCATGGTTGCCTGGTAAATAACGCGGCAAAATATTAAGTCCGCCACATGTACAAATGTTTTTGTGTATTAAAGAAATAAAAAAATACAATACTGTTTAATGAAAATGCGTGTTGTCTAGTGCTTTGAGATGTATCAAAATAAGGTCAACAAAAAAGTCCGTGATGGTATATGTCTATCTCTTAAGGATAACCAACAATAACCATTTTTTATCTTTTACATTTTACGGGATTTTTTTTATCGTATGTTTCCCTTAAAATCATGTAAACTATGTTATTATGTCATAATCTAAAGAAATAATAATATTTTATAGTGACATATCCACTATAAAGTACCAAAAAGTAGCAATGTAATTCGTTACGCGCGAATCAGGTGTTATAAGGTCAAAGGTCGGTGCACCCCGCGTATTTGATAAATAGTGCTTCTCTGGATGTCTTTAAGAGAAAATGGCAGTATGTACGTGTATATGTACAAGTCCTTAAGTGTTAAGTTTTTCAAATGTACATACAGTAAAGAATAAATATTTTTAAGTACAGTACTTACGTACATTAATATAATACCTACTTTTTACTTGTATCTATTGTTATCAAAATTAAATTATAAGTTCTTAACTTGACCACGACTATGTGACCTCTCTCTTGGCGCCAAAACGAGTGAAAAAATGAACAGCATACGACGACGACGCAGTACCTATAGAGTGGAGCAACTGCTTATTCAGTTTTATTCAACTATTTAGTCCCTCCACCGTTACAATGAATGGAGGCGGATATTACAATGTACGTAGCATTGCGAATATAAAATATCTAGATTAGGTATAATAAATTCATAATTCATAGGCCGTTACGGTATCAGAGCCAAAGTCTTCTTTCTTTGTTTATGTACTGTTAGATGCGACAGCGACTTTGTTTTTATATTACTATGTAATGATTGATATACCTAAAATAAATAAAATATCTGAGGTTTGGACAAAAATTCAAAAGGTACTTAATTTTTAAAAAGTATTTTGAAAATACCTATTTTGCATTTAGTATTTGAAATACAAAACACAAAACTATTTTTGTTTTTAGAGTGACTGAAGGAATTATTTCACTAAAACAACCTTCAAAACTCAAACACACAATTTTTATTCTCAACAAACTTTTTATTCCACTAATTTTAACAACTCTCTAATACTACTAAATACAGACCACAGACTCATTACATTTTTAGATTGTAATATATTTGTTTTTTTTTTTAATCAACTTCAACATTCTCCGCCGCCAAGGATATGCCCATATCCTTGTACGTATCATTCTCAGTTGAAATCAGGAAGTCTACAAAGTTTAGACACCGAACGCTGCATAACACCTGTGGCTGTACGAACATCGTAAACTCTAGTTAGGCCATCGGAACTCGGATACTTCTTTTGTATTCGACCAAGGCGCCAACTGGATGGAGACGCTCTTGAGTCTTTTATTAAGACCATATCTCCAATCTCGAAATCTTTTTGAACTCTCATCCATTTCGGACGTTGCTGTAATCGAGACAAATATTCAGTTTGCCATCTTGACCAAAAATCACGCACCATTTTCTGCGTCAATTGCCATCTCGTTAAATTGGATACATTTACCTTTTCATAGTTTCTGTCTGGTAAAGTTATAGTAGGCTCTCCAACAAGGAAATGTCCGGGTGTCAGATACTCGTAATCATCATTAAGTGCTGTTAGTGGACGCGAATTAAGACAAGCCTCTACTTGAGTCAAGACTGTGTATAACTCCTCAAAAGTAAGCGTAGTATCTCCTAGTATACGCTTAAGGTGATACTTCACAGATTTCACCCCGGCTTCCCATAAGCCTCCAAAGTTAGGAGCGCCAGGTGGTATATATTTCCAAACAGTGCCTCTATCATCCAACAAAATTCTCAATTCTTCAGGAAGTTCATTTCTACCCTGTTTCCACATCTCAAATAGGGTTTTCTCTGCTGATATAAATGTAGTTCCGTGATCACTCCACAGCTCATAACATCGACCTCTTCGTGCAACGAATCTTTTAAATGACGAAATAAATGCTTCTGTTGTCATGTCACTGACTAACTCAAGGTGTATGGCTTTTGTTGCCATGCAAATAAATAGGCATATATATGATTTATAAGCTTTAGCTCCTCGTCCTTTGCTCATTCGACATAGTATAGGACCAGCATAATCGACTCCACTTATTGAAAATGGGCGAGATGGATTCACTCTAACGTCAGGTAAGTTTCCCATTAATTGATTACTAGTAGTAGCATTATATATAGCACATTTTTTGCACTGTCTATAAAATCTCTTTATTCTTTGACCGCCATTTATAATCCAATAATTATTTTGCAGGTATGAAGTCATTAATCGAGGACCTCCATGCAGCGTCTCTTTGTGTGCATCATTCAACAGAAGTGGTATAAGTCGATTATCTCTGGTAAGTATGACAGGATGTTTTCTTTCATATTTCAGCTCTGCATGCTTTAAACGGCCACCAACTCTCAGAACATCATTCTCATCAAGGTAAGGACATAATGGTAATAATCGACTACATCTTTTAATAATTTTCTTCTTTTTCAGGGTTTCTATTTCATCTGTAAAGTCTATTTGCTGAGCTATTTTAACACAAACGGTAAGTGCCTTATCTCTTTCTTCACAATCTATGCTTTTATGTTTAATATTTTCTCTTTTTACATTTTTCATCCATCTTCTACAAAAGGCAACAACGTTCAATAGTTTCTTCAGTGACGAAAATCTATTCAATAAGGTAAGTTTAAATTCATCATCTTTAGTTTTTATAACTGTCGTATTACATTTAATCTGAACTCTTTTTTCCAACTCTGTTTCAGGAATTATATCTTTTGGTAACATAAAATTAGACATTTGCAGAAATTCTGGACCTTGCCACCATAAATGACTCTCTTTTAGTACACTGGGTAATAATCCTCGTGATGCTGGATCAGCGGGGTTCTCTTTTGTATTAATGTACAACCACTGAATATTCAAATTGTTTCTAATTTCTATAACTCTATTTTTAACAAATGGTGTCCATTTATTTGGGTCGCCATTTATCCAGGCCAATGTTACTTTGCAGTCAGACCAAGCAAATGTTTTACTGGTATCAATGGAAAGTATTCTCATAACATGTTTAAGTAATTTACTTAACAATGCTGCTGCACATAGTTCCAAGCGCGGTAAAGATATTTGTTTTACAGGCGCAACTTTAGTTCTTGCCATAATCAACGTTGTTTGGCAGGGATTTTTATTATTACTCAATACTCTAGTATAAACTACGGCTGCATATGCTGATTGCGAGGCGTCTGCAAATCCATGTAACTCCACTTCCACATCAATAGTACTTCCATTCCATCTAGGAATCTTGATTTCGGACAGTACAGGTAAATCATTTTTATATTTATTCCATTCTTCTTTCAGATCATTCGACAGTTCTTCATCCCAATCTACTTGATTTAGCCAGAGCTTTTGCATAAATATCTTTGCTTTAATTATGGCAGGTGATAACCAACCCATAGGATCGAATAAAGAAGCTATCTGGCGCAATATATTTCTCTTAGTAAGTAAATTAGTATTTTCGCTTTTCATATAAGTAGGTGCTATTTTTAAACTGTCCTCATTTGTCTCCCACATAATACCCAAAGTCTTCACAGTCTCTTTATGATTTATATCTAATACAATACTATTCACTCTTTTCTCAGGATCTATTGAATTCATAAATTCTTGACTATTTGAAGATATTTTTTGTAATTCAAATTTTCCTTTCAATAACATTTCTGCTAACTCTTTTTGTGCATTTATCGCATCGCACACATTATCAAAACCAGTTAATACATCGTCCATATAAAAGTCTGAATTCACAATTTTCGAGGCAACAGGATACTGTGTATTTTCATCTTTAGCAAGCTGTCTCATGGTTTTTATTGCAAGGTAAGGTGCTGAAGCCATGCCAAAGGTAACTGTCAGTAATTTATAGGTTTGTATTTCATTATTTTGATTAAATCTATATAATATTCTCTGATATTTTGTGTCTCTCTCTTGTATTTTTATCTGGCGATACATTTTAATAATATCTGCCACAAAAACTATTTTATGTGTTCTCCATCTTAGGATAATATCTCTTAACTCTTCTTGTAAATTAGGTCCAATCAAAAGCCCATCGTTAAGTGATACTCCGTTTGTACCTCGACACGAAGCATCGAATACGACACGTACTTTCGATGTTGTTTTATCATCTCTGAAAACTGCGTGATGCGGTAAGTAGACTGTATCTTTCTCTCTCTCATCTTTTACTAATTCCATATGGTTTAATGTTATATACTCTTTTAACACATTATCATACTCTCGTTTTAAGTTTTCATTTCCAGCCAATCTTCTCTCTAAACCTCTTAATCTTCTCATTGCTATTTCTCTAGAATTTTCAGGTAAGATTGGATTGTCTCTCACAAATGGTAAGCTGACTACATATCGTCCTTGTTCATCTCTCATGACTGTTTTCTCATATATTTCTTCTGCTCTAGCTTCTTGGGAGGTAAGTGTATTTTTATTCTCAGACTCTAGTGACTCACATTCCCAAAATCTCTGTAGCATATTATCTAACGTTACACTCAAATGCATACTAATAATTTGGCCCTTATTTGGTAATCTCTCAACAGCTTCGCCGCCAGATATTATCCACCCTAAGTAAGTTTGTTGGGCGATTGGTTCTCCTTGCTTTCTCTTTAAAACTCCACTCATCAAAATATCTGTGTAGACATGAACACCCAATAAAAGGTCTACATTTCCAGGTGTATGGTAAGTTGGATCTGCTAACTCGATGCCACTGAAATGTGTCCAATGCTCATAATTTATTCTTGTAGCGGGCATGATATCTGTAACATGCTTAATTACATAAGCAGTACACTTTAATTTATAATTTTTATTCATTCTAGAGGACAACTCAATCTCCGCCGCGTGCTTGAACGGGGTAGACATCTGTCCAACTGCTGATACCTGACCTTCTACATCTTTACATTTCAATTGTAATCTCTTTACAACTGCTTCACTTATAAATGATTCTTCTGAGCAAGGGTCTATTAAAGCTCGTACAATCTGTGGCCCTCTGCTCGTTTCTAAATTCACCAAAGCAGTAGCAAGTAATGACACACGGCCTCGTATTGACACATGTGAAAGAATATTGTGTTGACTCATTGTTTGATTATCTGGTGTTCTAATCTCTTCAGTCTCATTATTAATAGTCTCTAAATTTGGTTTAGTTATATGTATCAACGTGTGGTGCTTTCTATTACAGATATCGCATCTCATTCTATATCTACAAAATTTTACACTATGACCAGGACGCAAACAATTAAAGCATAATCTCTCCTTTTTAATGTACTCTGTTCTCATAACTGGATCTAGCTTAATAAACTCTTTGCATGAAAATATGTCGTGATTCTCTTTACACTTTCCACATTCTGTATTTCTACTTCTATACTCTGTATTTCTTTTTACAGCATTACTAGTTATTGTAGCAAACGATTTTGGTTTAATTTGAGTTCTCTCTTTCATATAAGATGTTTGAATCATTTCTGTTACTCTAAATCTTCCTTCTAAATATTTCTTAAATTTTTCTAACGTAGGTAATTCTTCAACAGGTATTGTTTGCAATTCTTCTTCCCATGTTTTTTGAGACTCCGAGTCTAATTTATTACTAATTATATGTATTATTAATGGATCCCAATTCTCAATATTAATGTTGTTATTCTTTAAATTATTTAAACATTCATTTGTTGTATCTAATAAATCTTTTATGTTCTTTGATGAAGCTGTAAATATTCGTCTCTGTCCCAAAAGTCTAGTCAAAATTGAATTTACTATTATTCTTTTATTATTATATCTATTAGATAATGTACTCCAGGCGATGTCATAATTATTTTCGGTAATTTGTATGTGTTTCAAAAGTTGTTCAGCTTCGCCAGTTAAACTGGACTTCAGGTAATGCATCTTTTGTATTTTACTCAAATTTTTATTGTTATGAATTAATGATGTGTACAAATCTTTGAATGTTATCCACTCGCTATAATCGCCTTGGTATAGGGGTATATTTATTTTGGGTAATTTTACGTCTTGATTTACATATTTTGTACATGGCTCCTGGACTATATTTGATGACTCAAAACTTTCTAACATCTCTGTGATATCTGCTTTGCAAAACAAATACTCTTCTTCGCATTTCGAAAATAAATCCTTTTCAAAATATTCATGCTTCTTTCTTTGTTCTAATGTAGATGTCTTTACTATATTTCTATGTGTCTCATCAAAGATATCCCAATGTTTCTCTAAACTTTCTAATCTCACTTTCAAGTAACTTTTATTTAATCTTGGCTTCGGTGTTTTCTTAAAATTAGATATAGTTTTTTGTAAGATAGAATAATTATTTTCTTGAAGCACTAATAAATTTTCCATTTTTCTAAATATTTTTTATGCACTGAATAAATATTAAATGTTTTTAAAACAAAAAAAAAAATGTTTCGATATTATAAGTCAATAATCACTATTTCAAATAAAATATTGTGTAATAGTTACTTTATGAACTGAGTCCAACGGAACGTCTGTACCGGTATTGTCTATGATCTATTTTCGCGCTCACTTAATTACACTGTGCTCAATGTATTTATTAAATGTTCAATTATTTAATAATATCACTCAAAATACAAGTTCTTTTTTATTTTAAACTTATCCGGATCGTAAGGACCACTTAATTTGAAGGAATTATTTCACTAAAACAACCTTCAAAACTCAAACACACAATTTTTATTCTCAACAAACTTTTTATTCCACTAATTTTAACAACTCTCTAATACTACTAAATACAGACCACAGACTCATTACATTTTTAGATTGTAATATATTTGTTTTTTTTTTTAATCAACTTCAACAGTGACATTTCTATGAATTCACTGTCGATAGCGAGCGGTGCGATGGAAAAAGATAACCGTTTATAAAAATATAATAAATAACCCTGGACAATTAACACAGACTGATACTGAACTGATATAAATAGATATTTTTATTTTGTAAATACATATATAATATACATATAAAACACCCAGACCGATGAAAACAATCGATGACCGATGAGTACAAATGTTTGCATCGTGCGAGAAATCGAACCCGCGACCATCGGATGTAAAGCGGTGTGACCACCGTGTGACTAGTTAATTTCTCGTGAATACGTCACGATGGGTGGCTGGCTGCCTGAAGTGACTTCACACTCACCTTATCCTTCTTCACTGGTACCCCGCCAGTGTATACCGTTAGCGCAGTTAATTACAAATAGAAAACGTGGATACGTTTACCTAAACAACATTCTGTAATCGGTTAAAAACTAATTTTATACTTACATTTCATAATCGCATAGGTAGGTATACCACCACTGAGAGTGAATACAACGATATTATAGAAGAAATATAGAGGCAGTCGAAATATATAAATAATCTTATGAATTTAATTTATTCTAATTTGTTTATGTGCGCGGGGTGCGGTGTACGGTGCTCCCCCCTGCCTCCACCGTTGCTGGAGCTTGCATGTATGGAGCATTGCGAATATAAAATATCTAGATTAGTAAATTCATAATTGATAGACCGTTACGGTATCTATATATATTCGGATTAAAATAAGTATCGCAGTAAGGACCAGTATATAAAGTGATCAACACAATTAACTGATTTTTGAAATATATATACAGAGCCAAAAAGTCTTTGTGTATTCAAAAAATATCTAATTTGTTTGTGTGCGCGGGGTGCGGTGTACGGTGCAGGGGGGGCCCTGCCTCCACCGTTGCTGGAGCTTGCATGTATGGAGCATTGCGAATATAAAATATCTACATTAGTAAATTAATAAATTCATAATTGATAGACCGTTACGGTATCTATATATATTCGGATGAAAGTAAGTATCGCAGTAAGGACGAGTATATAAAGTGATCAACATAATTAATTGATTTTTGGAATATATTCAGAGCCAAAAAGTCTTTGTGTGTACCAAAAATTTTGCCGTTCGGAGCCATTCAGTCACGAATTATTAGTAAAAAAAGTGTCGAGTATATCATACTATCGACGAATATATATGGCCACATCGCAAAATAGAATGCGACGTTGCCATACCGCCTGAGATATACGCGATAGAGGTCAAGTTATTCAGTGCAAAAGGTGGAATCGGCAAGTGTTTAGGTTGTGGCGTGATCAACAAAGTGCCCAAAGAGGTGTTTATATATATATATATATATATATATATATATATATATATATATAGTTAAGGTATAGATTTTAATACACAATAACCAAATAATAAAATAATAATATTATATTATTAAAAGTTTATGTTTTCTGACTCTATTTTTATACACATTGTCATAAGGTCAAGGATAAATAACATATAATAGTTAATAGTTAAAAATATTCATATAATATTTATTGATCACTTTTTTATTAAGACAAGCTATTTAATAATACGTAACATGTATAATAATATTATTATATACATGCGAAAGTGTGTCCGCGTATCTACATATTTGTTACCTTTTTACGACTAAATAGCTGAAATGAACTTGTGTTTAAAGACGAACATAGGCTCTTTAGGCTCTTTTACGTAAAAAATAGAAGCAGTGAAATAGACGATGAAAGCTTATGTAGACAAAGTCGCGGGTAAAAGCTTGTATGATATATATACGCAGTAGTTTACTATCTAAAGTTCGTAGCAAAAAAAGGCATTTACGATCCGTTTGCCAAACACGTTTGGTTCTAGAAAAATAGAATTCCTGATTGATACACATCTAATGTCCTTTTGTGAACAAAACAAAGAATTCCTCTTGACTCGTAAGTGGCAATAACCACACAAACTATGAAGTTGTAACTAATTTATTTACCAACACATTTTCTAGGAAGAGATTATGGTCGATGCAGTGATAAGTATTTTTATGTATATAGGTCACTACCTGAAATCTGAATGGATCGGTACTATCATTATGAATGTAAAAATGTTTGTATTTACAACTAAACGGCTGAATAGGTCTTAATAAAACTTGATTAAGATATATTATATTATGAGGACGGATATATATATATATAATTACACAATTTAACATATATACATAAAAGTGACATTTTAATATAATTCCTTCCCTCAATTATTATTATTGATATATCTGATATTACCATTTGTATTCTTAGTCATGAAATTCCCAAATTCCTAGTTTACGTGGCCGTCAATATCATTTGATACGTTATGTGTACAAATGAAGGATGGTATGCCACAATAGGCTCATTGTGCGACTGTACCACTCCAGTACAAATGGCTATGCTTATGTCCTTACCTCAAATATGCCAATTATACGCTGTTCTATTTTAATTATATTTATTATTATATTTATTTTAATTATACATTATATAATTAAAATAGAACAATGCGAAGTAGAATGAATATGATAGAACGTCCTGGGTTAGTGGTGTATTCCTACTTGTAGTGGGTTTGAGCTTGACGAGCGCGCATGACAATAGTTGTTCATGTACGGGATTTTCATTTAATGTTAGACATGTAAACTAATGGCTTTTAAAAAAATAAATAGAAATTCAGTTGAATTTCTTGCCAGTTCTTTTCAATTAAATCTGTATACTGAACTGGACGCTAGGGTAGATAATGCAAATAAAAAAAAAATACGTTCGTAGGCGGCTAAAATGTCCTACAGGAGAATAAATGATTTTTGATTTGATTTGAATCAGCCGATACCAAAAAATTTACATGTAATTTTTCTGACTAAATCATATATAACCATGAAACTACTGAAAACGTTTTTTTTTAATTAATTGGTATGGCAAGCAAGCTGGCTGCTTGGCTTGCTGAAATAGCTGAAACTGAGGAGTACCCTAATTTCGGCTAGTCGTTATTACTATTCAGATTACGCAGAAGGCTTTTAAAAAAAATCATAATATAATACATAATTTTTGTATCCTCCGTTTCATCCAAATACTTAATAACATTACATAGTATAAAACAAAGTCGCTGTCGCTGTCTGTCCGTCCCTATGTATGATTAAATCTTTAAAATTACGCAACGGATTTTGTAGCGGTTAATAGATAGAGTAGCGGTCAAGAGAAAGGTTTATATATATAATACATGTACACCCGTCCGAAGCTGGGGCGAGTAGCTAGTCAATTTATAAATCTAATAATACTGCATGCGTTTTGATTTTGAATATAAATAATTATTTTCATAATTGAATTAAACATTCGAGTTTTACGTATAACGATAGCTTCCTGATTAACTCATCAGTTTTTCTGTCTGTAGGATATACAAAGACTTAATTACGCCAATACGAATGATCAAAACGTATTCATGGCAAAAGCTAATTAGATACTCACATAAAAATAAGGAAGAGATGTTTTTAATAAACAGACATATTTTTCATCTTACACTATGTAAAAACTTATTATGAATGATTTTTCATTACAATAGCTACGATGAAATATTATATTTTAAATGAATGATAAATAAACATAATTTATGATGTTTATTTCAATTAATGATTTTGAGAAATATAAAGTGTAATTTTAAAAATATTTTTTTAACTAAATTGTAATTTAATTAATTGTAATTTTTTTTGCTATGAATAAATCGGATTTTGCGTCTAAGTCTGTATTGATGATTAGTGAATAAATTTGAGAAAATCTTTCGTTCATCAATAAGTTTTTTTTTATAGCAAAGGGGACAAACGAGCCTGAGTCTCACCTGATGGTAAGTGATGAGTTGCGAGGTATTCAAGGTTGATGTATTGTCTTATTGTCTAATCAGTAATAAGTTAAAATGTTTCACTGTTTAACCTTTACTATAAGGTTAAGTAGTGAAACATTGAAATAGATTGACACTTTAATATCTTCGATCGACAAAAATTATATGTACCTAGTAAATACTTGTTATTTTTAGTAATTACACAGTATTATATGATTCGATATTTAAAGGGCTTTTAATAATAATAAGTAATAATATTTTGCTTATTAATAAAGGTTTACAGTAATTGTATTGCTTTAGGCATGTACTTCTTACTAATTACAAATATTTTTAATATAATACTGACTTTAAAAATTGATTGTTAACCTAAATAAATATAAGTTCAAATATAATAAATTGGTAACATTGTTTCTTAAAGTACTAAGATGCATATGCAAAATAACCAGTACGATGTTTAAACGATGGTAGAGGTACAAAACTTGATATTATAGAGCTAAACTAAGGATCGGATCTATAGAGCGATGGTACGAAGTCTGTCAGGGGAAAAATATTGAATGAAGATCCAACAGAAAATATATTTGAAAATAATATCACAGATGTTACCCATGAAATAACCATGCTTAAGTAGGAGCATCACATCCGGTGAATGAAATCCAACTGGGCGATTATAAATAATAAAT